CTAATTAACCAAAAGTTCTCAAATATATTTCATTAATAATTTTTTTAATTTCAGCACAAGCTTATTCATAAGTAGATTTGATCTAAGAGATTTAAGCAGCAATAAATGCAACTAAAGATAAGGCAGATGATGAATAAACTAAATAAAAATTAGGATTGATTATTGCCCCTAAAAGTAACCATACTATAATTAATCCAAAATAAAAGAATACACTAAATGCCAATATTAAGAATTATATCCATTAAAACCAATTGAAATATTTCATAAATTTATTTTAATACAATTTAAATTCCCACATATAACCCACTTCATCTGGGAAATATGATAATAAGTATTTAACACTCTAGAATAAAAATGTAATTATTGCATAATAAGCCAATAATACACCTAAAACTAATACCCAATAATCTAAAATGCCAAAATAATCAGTTATAGTCCATGGTCTAGTTAAAGCATCATCTATAAATAGTAGATTCTTTGGATCATAAATAGAGAAAGGTGAGTATGATGTATTAATAATGATAATAAAATAAAGTAATGGAACTATTGTAATAGCAGTAACTAAAAAGTTACCTAAAACTACAGTTAAATCTGATAGAATCCATCCATTCATATAAAGAGCATCAAAATAATCCATCAAAACATTTCCTTCTTCTGTTTCTCTATATGAATATTCTCTATTAAACAATCTGGTTTTATAATTAAAAATTAAACTTTGAATAAACATGAAAGGATAATTATAATAAAATACATGTGCATTTAATTATTTAGAACTCATAGTTTTAATTGGATTTTATTAAAATCTATTAATTTCAGTATTTCTTCTTAATAAAAATACTGGTTATTCAAGATAATAATCTTCAATAAAAGGAATATAATGAGTGCATCTACCCAAAAATCTAATATACCATGATTATCTTTATTGAATTCCAGTTTTAACTTTTCTTAATTCAAATGCTTTAAGATCTGAAATCAAGAGACCATAATCATTAGATATATCTTTTACATTAAATTATTCAACTCTTAAAGTCTTACCACAGAATTTAATATATGCCTTTTCAAGTCTATCAGATGGAACAATATCTGCTGGAATTCCTGTTAATAAACATTAAGTGGCCATAAAAAGCTCTAATGAATTTCCAGATGTTTTTTCTTCATCACTAAGTTCTTGATAGGATTTAGCATTAGGATTCAATTTAATTTTAGACAATATTAATACATCATCTTTTTCTGCAAATTCAAAACCATATTATTCTAATAATTATTCTTATTAAGATAATGGTTCTATAGTTAATTTATTAAGGAAACAGAATTATTCATATTATTCCTTAACTTCTTCCTCATCAATACATAAATATTATTTATCTAAAGTTTATTTATAATATTATTCAGTTTATATTTAATTACTCTTTTTGAATAAAGTTTTACAAAACATTTTAGGTGCACTTTTAAATGATTATTAACCAAAAACATAAAAAACATAAGATAATACTCCTAATAGAATAGGAGGATCTTTTTTAGAAGCAAGTTAATCTAATTTTTAAATCATTCTCTTTGCAATAGCTGCTAAATTATCTTTTGTGCTTTATGTTGTTGTTGCACTATAATTTTAAAATTAAGAAGAAGTTTCTAAAACATAAGTTTCTAATCCTTATAATGATACAATCAATACAAATATACACACAATGCCAAATATTAATGATGATAATAATGATAAAGCAATAGCTGCTATGAAAAATGGATCATAATGTAATGGTTAATAAACTATGTTATTGGCAACATTTTAAATAGTTGACCAATTTTCATATTTTCCTCTTTATTTTTCTTCTAATGGATCAAATCCAGGATAAGTTAGATTTTCATTTAATGTTTCATTTTATTTTACAAAATCATCTTTCTAAATAAATATAGCTTCTCCATAAGTTGTATTAAATGTTCTTTTAATTAATTCTTAAATTGTTAATGTCTATCTAGCATTCAAAGCTGGATTCCATGGACATAATCCTGGATCTGTACTGACTTAGAAATGTTAAAATGTAGGATTTAAGAAAGTAGCTGAAAAAGCTGATAACCACCATGGTTAAAAGGCTGCATATGATGGATTACTAAAAAATGACCAATATGTGCTATAAGTATGTTATAATAAGTAATGACCACCAACATCAAGTCTTACAGCAACATCAGCAGATCCACTATTATTCATAAATTGTTGTATTTTAAGAAGAGATTCTTAATCAAAATTTAGATTTCCTGACAAAAAAGGATAAGTTTGGAAATATTCAAATTCATCAACTCCTTTGATTAATGGTTTACCTATTTAATATAGCATATTTGCATATATTGTGCTTGAATTACCAATAATATTTATTGTTTATTATACATTACATGAATCTTTTTCACATAGATTCATTTATCCAGTACATGTTTTACCAATCATATCCTATTAAGTTGCTTCTAAATAACAATTCTCTTAAACTTTATTTAGAATTTAATATCCTGTTGTACAAACAGCTTATGATTGTGATGAATAATTCAAAAAGTACGATTATGTTGATTAAATGATAATATCACCACTTAGCATTCTGATACTAGCTTCAGTTATTAAGAAATGATTCAAAAACAAATTACCTGCTGATTCTGTATGAAATATAAAATTTTCTGTTTTAATGTTTCTCATATTTATCTACATTTTTGCTTTTGGCTCTGATGTAGCATTAAATAATGTATTAACTACTAGCTCCTCTAATCCAAATGCCATCACACATTCTGATTCATATCTACAAACAACATTTAAATTATCAATTTATTTTGGCAGTTGCAAATCAATCATACATGTTCGTTACTAATATTCATTTAAATATTGATACATCAGGATTTGGATCATAAAATGTTAGATTTGCGACACCTGTGTCTAATATTTCTCCATAAATTCTAAAATCATCAGACCCATTCACTTACTGGCTCATACTTCCTTTAGCTTTAAATGAAAACTAAAAAATGGATTTGTTATTTTACCTTTAAATAGTCATCAGATTGACTCACATTCAAAAAACAATTGCCAATAAATATATCAATATTACTTGTATCCTTCTCTGCACTCCAAGATGAGTTTTTCACTGTTACGAAATATCCCCATGCAAAGAATCCCACTACAACACCAATAAATAAAATTTAAAGTATCAGTCTTGTTAATCTTCGAAGTAAAATCATTCCCGAATATATACTAAATTAGTAATCAATTCAAACCTTTCTAAACGACTCTCATTCTCTGCTTTATTTGTACTTCGGTTTTCACCTTATTTTTATTGTTTAAATTGAATCATCCATTAATTCAATTAATCCTTGCTACCTACTAGTTATGCTTTTATTTTTTAATCATCATCCTATTTGTATATTATCAATCACTTACTCCTATTTCCCCATATTATATAAGTTCTAAGTCTTCTCTAGGAGTTGGCTTTTCTTTGTAACTTAATAATTCGTATTCAGCATATCCGCTCGGATATACCTTTCCAGAATTACCAGGAGTCTAATTATGTTCTGTGTTATTCATATCTTGTCAAATATTTATTAAAATAATTGAAAAAGAAGATCAATGTTGGTTGGTTATATAATATAAATTATTTCTAGCGTTACAAACTTCTATTTATTAATTAACAATATATAAATAAAATTATTGAAATATAAATTAATATATAATGTAATAATTTTGATTCTTTTGATCAAACCTTACCTAAGTATTATAGTTATAATAATCTTAAGATTCCTTGACCCTTAAATTACACATAAAAATAAAAATACTCTGAAAAATTCTTATCTCCATTTTTGATAAATATTGATTTTTTTATCTCTGTTAAAATTTTTGTTGTTATAATTACTTTATATTTTTATAGAATAATACAATATACAAAAAAATTCATATCATTTAGAATTAATGACTAGATAAGAATAAGAAAATGAAGGCTTAATATAATGTGTTATACTAACAAATTTATATATATATTCAAAATAAATGACATATTAAATCTCTTAATCATTCTGATTAATTTTAATAAGTTGTTAAATTACTATATTTTTGGAGCATTATAAATAATTTTTTAGATCTTAAAAATTATTAGTTTTCTTATCAAAATTTAACTGTCATTATTCATTCATGTTTAATATTTTGACCAGAACAACTAATTAGCATAAAAGCTACACTAATGTTATATTTAACATATCAATTTTATTTTAAATAAAAAAAATTCTTCCAAATGTTTACTTCCTTTCAATATGTAAATAGAAATTGATTATTTAAAGGAATTAAATGCTCTTAACCACTTTTTCAGTTTATTCTTGTCAACTTTAATTCTATTTTTTTTTTAAAAAGCCACATAAAATCAAATCATACACAAGCATACTTTAATTATGTATTCCGACACCTTTTTAGAAATGCTTTTTTAATTCAAAGTAAATATTATTAAAAAAATAATACAGTTTCAAAATAATTTATATAATTCATTCATACATACTTTTCTTAACTATATAATAAAAAATTTGAAATTGTAAAATTTATATTAAATCTGATAAAAGACAACTTCATTTTTAGTCTATCTCTCTATTATATGATGATCAAAAAATTAATATTAAATTAATTATAAACTTCAATTATTTTATATAACAGTCAATATCAAAACAAGTGTTATTTCTTCTATTTAAAATTCAGAATAATTGTTTTATATTTTATCTTATATAACAATACTTTACTTACTAATAGCATTCTTATTTATTTATTTTACATTAAATTAAAAATACTTTCTGTTGATGATTATCTACCATTATATAGATTATATAAGATCATGGCATTTATCAATAATTAAGTATTTGTATATTCATATCTATGTATAGTTAACGTATATATTAAATATTAATAATTAATAATGTTTAACTTAAACATATAGATATAAATTTTAAATAAATTACATTATTAGTCATTTATTATTAGTTTAAATAAAATTAAAAATGCTACAATTTGATTAAGAGAAACCAATAGGAAATTTATATAAAATTACTAATAAGCTTGGAAGTGGATCATTTGGTGAAGTATTCAAAGGATTCAACATGGAAACTAATGAAATTGTAGCTATAAAATTGGTAAAATTTGAATTTGATTTACCTTATTTTAGGAAAGTTAAGAGGCTCAAATGCCACAAATTAAACATGAATTTTAAATATTATCTGCAATTTAAGGAAATGGTATAATATATTATATTTTTTAAGGTATTCCTAAAGTACATTGGTTTGGGTAATGGGAAGATAAAACTGTGATGGTTATGGAATTATTGGGCTACAATTTAGAGTAACTCTTCAATTTAGTGAACAGAAGATTCGAATTAAAGACCATGTTAATGCTTATAGATTAAATGGTATACTAATGAAAAAGATCAATTAGTTTTTAGATAGATATCATATCTCTCCTCCATTCAAGAGGATATTTATATCGTGATATTAAACCAGAAAATTTCCTTATGGGAATTAACAAAAAATATAGCACAATCTACATTATAGATTTTGGTTTATCAAAAAAATATAAGGACAAAAAAACAGGTGAACATATTCCTTATAAAGAAAATAAAGGACTTATTGGAACTGCCAGATATGTTAGTCTTAACACTCATCTTGGAATAGGTATACTATTTAATTAAAAGGAAGAATAAAGCAGAAGAGATGATATGGAATCTTTGGGATATTTGTGGTTATATTGTCTAAAAGGATCTTTACCTTGGCAAGGATTAGATGTAAATAATAGAGAAGAGAAATATGAATTAATTAAAACAATCAAATAAACAATATCAATTGAAGATCTATGTCATGGATTACCAAATGAATTTGTTAAGTATTTTCAACATTGTAGACAACTTAAATTTGATGAAGAACCTGATTACAAGAGGTTTAAAATGTTATTTAGAGATTTATTCTTTAAATTAGATTTCATATGGGATTATTAATTTGACTGGATAGAATCACTCTAGCAAGAATAAATCTAATCTATAATGCATACAAAATATAGCAAGAATTCTTTATCCAGTCTTAAAGGAGGAAGTAATTGATTTTCAACTATTTAGGTTAAATTCTGAAGACAGATGAGGAAGATGAGGTCTAAGAAAAAATTGAATTCAAAATTGGAGGGGATTCATAAATGAATTAAAAGAATGTTAAACCGATGTTAAATTTAGATAAATTAATAAGCAAGCCGAATTTATTTGAAAGTATCTTCAAATGATTATAATATTAAATTGATAAATTATATGTTAAAGACAAAGGATATGTAATATATTTCTATTTTTTTATTTCTTAATATCATTATTTTAATTTAATAAAACTAAACTATTTTTGAAATATTCATACATAAAAACTCTAATGAAATGTATATTTATATATTCTTTATACTTCTTTATTAATTTATTGATATAACATATATAAAAGATAAATTATATTTTTTATAATAACTTAATTGAAACTTACTTTTCGTATTTTTACTACATTTTACCATTTTCAATTTCAAAAGGGAAATAATTTGATTTTTTTTTGTTGTGACTTCATACTATTTTAATTAAGCAGTATAAATTTCATAATTAGATAACTCTTGAATTTTATCTATTTATATAATATATATATAGATAAAATGTAAGGTAAATTTAGATCTATTAACCTTATCATTTCTATTAATATAATATATATGATAGTTTTTTTTAATGTTTTTTTTTTGTTAGCAAAAATAAATATTTTTATGTAAAGAAAACAAAGGTTTATTAATTTGCATTTTATATATTAATATACTAATAAACCTCATTATTATTATTATTTTTTTGGACTCTATTAAATATTATTTTTATTATTTAATTATTTCTTTTGTTGATATTTGTTGTTTTGATGATATTATGCCTAGGGCCTATTATAATTAGAAGTCTGATAAAAACCAGGATTATTTAAAGATTATTACTATGATTATTATTAATATTATTATTATTATTATTATTATTATTATTATTATTATTATTATTATTATTATTATTATTATTATTATTATTACTAGTATTATTATATTGGCTATTATTAAAGTTACTGCTATTGATTCCAAAATGTAGGTTAGGCTATAATTATAGTAAAATATACCAACTCCGTACCAAGGACTTTAGTAATAATATTAATATTATTAATAACATTGATTTTGAATCTATTACTATTTTCTTCTTTAATAGGATGCTACAGAGAAAGTGAATGGCATTTATTCAAAGACACTTATATATTCTTAAAACTAGATGGGAAAATTTGGATTGGAATCTCTTTCATTTCTCTTTCTTTTCTATGAAAATACAAATTAATAATTACTTCTGAATTATCTAATTCCTTAAAAGCCTTCAACATACAACTTTTTTATTATTAATTTTTAAAGGCATCATAGATCAAATGACCATTTTCAATTTAAGTACAATCAATTAATTCATGAATACATTTTCCTCCTGATTATTAAATTGAACTTAATTCGCTATATGGTAAATCTCTTACAAAGACCTTTTGTTTATAGGATTATTACCCATTCAATCTGGAAAGACCCAAACCATTTATTCTCCTCTGCCCAATACATAAAATGCATGTTTTCTCTAAAATTACTGACAATTTTAGCCAATCCTATAAAGTGGGATGTTTGGGTAACATTAAATAATAGATAAACTGGACGTGTTGCATCATTTAATTTCTAATTATTACGACTCGAACTAAAGTATTTATAGTATAACTACCTAGTCCAAATACCATATTTAATAGCACGATGAACATTATCTTTAGTTGGAGCACGTATCAAAAAATAAGTTGCTTCTTGTTCAAGTGGTTGATGAATTTTTTGAAGACACTTAAATGTTTTGGTTACTTCTTCAAAATTTTCATAATTATCTAAATATTATGCCTCAGGTTATGGGCATATAGGACTTGTTTGCATATTAATATATTATTTATTTAAATATTAATTCATGGATGTATATATATCATTTTATTTGCTTTAGACTGTTTCAGATATCAATCCAAGACCATTCTTAGAGGAAATCACAAGAAAATAGATCATTGTTAGATTAAAGTGGGGTTGGGAATTAAGAGGTAATAAATAATAATCTAATTTTAGGGGTTTTAAAAAGTTCTGACTAATATATGAACTTGCATGTAAGTTTATTTATATGAATTTATAGATGTTGAATACAGAAGAGTATGTTGATGGAAAGAGTAGAGGAATATTAGGAGAAGTATTGGTTAGATGTAATAATGTTTTGTACATCAGATAATGCCCTGATGAAAAATGATCCTAAATTTATATAAAAATGCATAAATTTTTAGATATCATAGCTAATTTTGAATAAAGGTTTATTCATTCAAAATAATTGATTTATTTTAAATGTTCCAAATGGTTTATAGATATGGAATTAAATAAAAATAATCTTATAGGATTTCACGAATAAATATTTAGGAATCATCTTAGTATTTATAGTTATTATTTCATACAAATTTAATATTTATAAATATTATATTTCTATCTAGCAATGTATAGCCCAAATTTGATAATCCCTAAATTTTAGTCTCATTCTGGTGAATTTTTTTTGATGGAAGAATCAAATGATAGCCTTGTCTTTTATTTTGCTCTTTAATTGTCAAATCAATATAAAAAAGATTATTTGCAGATTGAGAGGGAAAAAAGAGATTTAATCTAAAAATCTAGATCACTCCGTCATTTTTTAAAGATGATTGAGATTAAAAATAAGTATTATCTTTTCAGATACATTGATGGAAATACAGTTTAAGAGAAAATAGACATAAATAGGACTAAACAAGAAACAATTGACTAAAAAATAATTGAAGCTTATCTTATTTAACTATTAGAGGCATTATTTTAACTCCATTAACTAAATATACTTGGTAGAATATTTTCAGTTGAAAACATAATAAATAATAATGGAACTTTAGTTTTAATGGATTTTGGATATGGACCCGATTTACTATAAAATAATATGAATATTTTAGCACCACCAGAAATAATTACAAAGTTAGTAAATGAAAATCATTAATTTCCCTATCTAAATTATGATGCTCTTAAATTTGATTCATGGTTATTAGGTGCATTTTTATTTAATCTTGTCAAATTGAGACCTATAAATTCAATAGAAAAAAAAAATTCATCTAAAAAAATGGAAATCTTCAAATATTCAAATCTTATTAACTATTAAAGCTATATAGAAGAGTAAAGTAAAATTAATACTCATATAATTGCATCTACAAGTAGATATAATGAATCTCTAATTAATTTAATTCATGGTTTATTGACTTATAATTGTCAAAAAAGATTATCATTCTTAGAAATATATTAAAGTGATTATATTACGAAATTAAATTTACCTAATTAATAACAATACATAGAATTTTATAAAAATTTTAATCAAGCTGAAATAATTGAGAATTTAATGATTCGTGATGGAATTTCTTCATCTTTTCTTCTTAATACATATCTATTAAATGATATCAATAAAAATTAAGGAAAGTAAGAACAAATTGACAATGATTTTAAAAATTAATAAATCGATCTTACAAAAAGTTCACCTTAAAAACTAGATGTGACATAGGTTACACCATAGGACCAAAATTAAAATTTTTCAGAAGCAAAATCTATTCAACTACCTTATATTGCATCTTTTATTGAAGTAGAATCATATAATAATTATAGGACTCTAAATATTATGATATCTGGATTTAAATCAACTTGGAACAGTTTCGATATTTTATATTGAATGATACAGCTAATTAAATTAAATCTGAATACCCATAAGAGAATTATCAACTCTCATTGATAGTTTAATATGCTTTAAAAAAGCAAAGTTATTTAGTTATACAAGAACTCTATTTAAAATTAAAATCAGTTAATTATCCTTGGAAAATAAAACAAGTAAATAATTGGAGTAGTTTCTAAATGGAAAATAAATTTCATTTTTTAAAACATAGCTTAATAGAGGCTATTAACAAATTGGTAGAATCTTTGGCTTAAATATAAAAAGAAATATCGTTAAATTTAGAAGCAATTTAGAAATTTCTAAGTGAATAAAATAAAAATAAGGATTTAAATTAGATTGTTAATAAAATAATCGGTGAGAAGATTTATTTTGAACAAGATTAAAGTAAAGATTCGTTATATCTATTCTATGCTGAAAACTACTAAAATACTCAAGAAAACTCAGAGAATAACAACGATGATTGTGAAAACCAATAATTAATTAATAGCGAAAATAAAGTAAAATTATATTATGATAATTAGAATTAATTAATTAATGATAAATAATAAGAAGAATGGTTTACAGAATTTAAGATGCTTATCAATGACATATTTCAATTTTTCAAAAATAAAATTAATGATCGTTCATCCTAATTAGAATACAGTAAAATAATTTTAAAGATTTTGTATTGTAGACTCATCAATAAAATATTTTCTTTTGAAAATATGAAATATATTTTTAAAAACATCAAACGTTATGAGTAACAAATAATTACTCCTGATGATATTTATTGGTACATTGAGTCTAAAGATAACTAGGAATAAAAATTTAATGACATTGAAGAAATTGTGAAAAAATATTTTCCAAAATAAAAATGATGAGTCTAATAATTGACATATTTATATAATTATTATGATATTGTCTTTGTTAAAAAAACTACCATATAAATTCAAATCTAAGCTCAATTGTAGAGTGGTTGATTAAAAAGTGAATGGACTATGTTATTATTACATTTTTCAAAAATAAGATGAAGAAAATCTTTAATTAAAGCAATAACAGCAATATGAAAGTTTTTTAAAACAAATTAAATAATACATTGAAAAATTAAATAATTATAATGATCAATAATAATACTTAATTCTCTTTAACCAAAAAAATTCAATGATATAACATTATTATTAGCCTAAATATAGAGCAAAATTGGATATTAAATAGCTAGTATTTATAATATAACCTAAAAATTTTAATTGAAATTTAATAAATAATGATGACTTTTTAATGAAAGAGATCAAAATTGATATATAAAATTTGCAAGAATTCTAACTAGATATATTTAGAACTGATGAAATAAATAAATTTATGTAAAATGATTATATGAATTAATGTTCTTTTTTAACTTATGTTATTAGGATCAGTTATAGATGGATTCTACAAAACCCAAAAGAATAAAAATTATATATATCAGACTAGATAGTTTAAACTTGATATATTAGATATAATATCTCTTTATAAATATGTTTTCATTTTTATAGAATCTTAATAATAAAGAATAAAAAGCTTGATAAATATAAATAGAAATTGTTTGAACAACAAGGAATAATTAGAGAATATAAGTAAATAAGAGAACAGGAATAAAATATCTGTTTTGTTACTCTAAGAAGAGTTTAAGATTTATATATTATATAATCAGATGAGATTTCAGTAAATCTCATTGTGGGTTGTTCAATCTAGAGAGTTCAAGAACTCTTCAAGGTCTTGTTGAAATTCAACTGGAGAATCAACTTAATCGAAATTCTTTATCATAGGGTTTTAAGCTTCTGCCCTTATTGATTCAATAAAGTAAACATCCTCTTCAACCGAACTCTCTGATTTAGCGAATTCATTTTTTTAGCATATAGGGTATATCATTTTAACCAGTGTGGGTCTTAAGAGGGATGACATAAATAATTAATTATTTTAATATTTTATTACAACTTATTCACTAGATAAGAGTGCTAAGAATAATGAGTTAATTTAATCTCTACAAATTATATAATAAATGATTTTATTTATTGATCATTTTTTTACTCTCTTTTGAACTTCTTAAACGATTTGTTCATGTGATGCTCCATTTTATAAAAAAGAATGCTGAATTAATTAGTCAATACTAATCCTTTTATCAGGATCAGGATCCAACATTTGCATAATCATATCCTTAAATTCTTAAGGATATTTTTGTTATTTATATTATTCACATTTCTTCCAAAAAATGTCATATTATTTAGTCAATATCATATTCCACCATTAATCTCTTAAAGTAGGATCATTACTTTAAAAAGGTGGAAAACCCATTACTATAATAAATATGACAACTCCTAAAGCAAATATATCACATTTAAATAAATCTAAATTATTTCCTTTATAAATTTCTGGTGCTGTATAACCAGGTGTTCCACCAGGAGGTCTTGACAATTACTAAGTTATTCGAGCAAATCCAAAATCACATAATTTTATTTGATAATTTGCGGCTATAAGTATATTTTCAGGCTTAATGTCACAATGAGCTACTTGATGATTATGAAGAGTTGCTAATATATGAATAAGATGACAAGCAAGTGTTTTAGCTAGAGATATATGAAATGGACCTTTTTTCAAAATTCTAAGAAATGTGTCGTGAGGCATATACTCTAATAATGCACAAGTAAAATCTTGAGCATGTCCTTTCAATTAAACAATACCTGGATGATCTATTAATTTAAGTATTTTAATTTCGTTCACTAAATAAATACAAAAAAAACCTGGAGATTATTGAGATGGTCTGGTGTAATTGAAGTAAGTACTTTGAGGGCAAACATTTCTCCAGTTCGCTTATGCATAGCCAAATAGACTTTAGCATCATGTCCTGAACCTAAAGGAGGATTAGGGTTGACTAAGAAATTAGATTAAAAGTCTTGTTGAGTGAAGACAATAATATTTTTTTCTTGTTTCATTTAATATATATTATTTATTATTTAAATTAAGTTAATAGCATAAATATTATATGATAATACAATTCAAATATTACATTAACAGAGATTAAAAGATATCTATGGATTTGTTTGTAATACTATCATTTATTGATTTTAAGTATTCTAAATATATTTTTAGTTATGCAATTATTCAATACTTATTTTTTTATTTAATTAAGGAACACTCTATATTTTCTCATCTGTTTCAATAATCATTTTTTTACTAGAATTTATAGTAAACAATTCATCATTGTGTATTAATGATAAACATTTTTTGAATTCTTCAAATTATATTTCACCATCATCATTTTCATCAAAAACATTTATAATAGTTTCTATGTCTTCTAATTACAATTAATTATTTAGATCTATTTTTTTTAATAATGCATATAATTCTTATTTATCTAATGAATTATTGTTAGAAGTATCATATTTTCGAAATAATTACCTTGGACTCATATTGTATTATTATATTAAATTAGATAATTCTTATAATATTATCATATGTTTTTTTTATAAAGACCTTTAAAGTTTTGCTTTTTTAGGTGGTGAAGGATATAAATATTGTTTGAATTCTTCAAAATCAACATATCCATTTCCATCTCTGTCAAATTCATCAAAAATGTATTTAACATCATCATCATTAAAGCTATTATCAAGATATTAGATAAAACATTTGAATTCTTCTAAATTTAATTATTGATCTCCAGAAGTATCTACTTTCTAAAATATTTGAGTTAATGTATCAACATTTGGAATTTTCTATTTAAGATAATTCTAAATATAAAATAATTTCTTTTAACAACTGCTTCTTTACATCTAAAATTTTATAAAATATTCACTAATATATGGATGACGATATAATGTATCCCAAGAAAACCTATTTTCCTCTTTTATTTGTAAACAATTCAAAATAAAATCTTTACATAATTCATTCACATTAGGTACTTCTGGAAATTTTAAATTTTAATGAACAATATTATAAAGGAGTTCACTTTCAGACCTACCTAACCATGGAGCTATATTATTATAAAGATTTATTACTTTTTTAATAAATTATTTGATATAACATTAATCCTATACTCCAAATATCACTTTTACTTGTATATTATTAACCATTTAATATTTAAGGACTCATATAATATGGAGTTCCCACTTTACTTTCCATTATTTAATTTTTATAATTACTGATTTGTCTTGCAAAACCAAAATCACCTAATTTAAATATTTTTCTATTATTTTCTATATGAACTAATATGTTTGCAGGTTTAAGATCTCTATGCATAATACCTTACTTTATTAATGTTGTAAATGCAGTAAGGATGTCAATTAAAAATTAAAAATGGTCTTCATGTGTTATTTAATGAGTTTTATAAATTAATGATTCCAAATCTCCATGATTACAATATTCTAATATTATATAATAATTATTCTCTGTTTATAGAACATCAATAATCTCAATTATATTAGGATTCTTTAGACTCTTTAAAATTTAAATTTCATTTAAAAGTTATTTTTCATCATCTAAATATTATTAAATAATATACCAACATCTTTCATATCACTTTTTCTAACAAGCTTAATAGCTACATTTTATTTAGTATGAATGTTTATTCCTTTATAGACTGTTCCATAAGCACCTTTGCCTAATTTTCCTTTTTTAAAATTGTATCTATATGATTCAATTTATTTTTCATCTGTTTTGAGTTTACCCAAAGGATGCTGATTCATTAATTGCATGGTTTATAAATTATAAAATAATGAAATTAATAATAGGTAACTAAAATCAAAAATATATTTTATAATTTATGATTTATATAATGCATCATTATCTCTCTTAATTAATATATGATATATTGTAATAATAAGACTTATATAATATATTCTTGTCATTATTATAACTATAATAAAAAACTAATATATTTAAAGAGTATGTATTTTATACTTCATTATAATCTAATGAGTATAGTATAATCATATCCTTCACAGGACATTAAATAAATACATTCTCTTTAACATTTAATTCTAAAATCATTTTTTTAATGATAAAAATATATATATACAATTTTTATTTCTTCTACATAATTAATGAAGAGACAAAGATCACAGTCATGGGAACCTTAAAGTTTTGAAAATAGCGAATTAATACGTTAGCAATCAGAAAGACCAATAAATGTTGAAAATGTATGAAAAAATGAGATATAGAGCATTTTTTCTATGATTGTGAATCATAATGTTATAAAGGATATTTCAATTGTTGATACATACAAAGAGATTGATAACATATCGATGCACAAAAAACATTTTGTTAATTACGTAATAAAAATTAAGACAGATTACTTTGATTATACAATAGCTAAAAGATATTCAGAATTTGAAAAACTTTATGATTAGGTAAATTTAATGAATGTTAATTTAGATTTCCAATATTTTACATAAATTGCCTAAATTTCCAGAAAAGAAACTCATAAAATCTAACTCTAAAAAAAATATTGCTGAAAGAAGAGAAATGTTAGAGTGTAATTATATAATCAAATCATATACTAGAGTTACTGAAATATATTTTAAGAAATCTTAATAATTAAATGCATTACTTTTTATACTTTTTAAATATATAATGTGAGCTATATTTATTTATGTAGAACAATTTTTAAAAGGAGGTTTTGGTTAAAATGTTAGACTTCATGAAATGAGTAAAGATGAATTTGGATTAAGTGATTTGAAAGAAGAAACTAAATTAGTAGCATCTAATGAATAAGAAAAAATGGTTTTTCATTATATAGCAAAATTAAATGAAAGAAATGATGAAAGAAGCAAAATATTTTAGTATTTTTATTTTCATAAAATAGAAAAATGGAAAAATATTTTTTTGGAAAAACATAACATTTAGGATCATAAGTCTTAAAATTTATGTTAGTTGGTGATGATTAAAGATAAAAAGGAATTATTGAATTATTAAAAAACACTTCTAAAGATTTTTAATCACATATATCTTGTATAAGTGGAATGTAATTCTTAAGGAAAATGCTTGAATATGATTTTAATCCTTGTAATCAAAATATATTTATGTATTTAGATGCTGATTTCTTTTTAAAAGTTTTTGCTGAAGTAAGTATCAAATAACTTAAGAAAATGGGTATATCATTTCATGTATGTGGAACTAATAAATAACTATGCAAATAAGATACCTTACTCTTAATTTATAAATATGTTAAAGTTAATGATCTAAAACCAGAATTCATATCCTTTTTAGTATTATTAATATGAGTAATTTAGTTAGAAGATTAAGAAACCTTAACTGAATTCTAATAATTTAAAGAGGCTTATTAATAAAAAAAGGAAGAAGCCTTTTAATTCATAGCAGATAGTGCAGAGAATTTGCAAAAAGAAACTGCTCCTATTAAATCAAATTCAAAGGAAAAACTCAGTATTCTAGATTAAGAGCCTTCAATAGAGTAGTTGAAAGAGATTGAATGTAATCAAAGTATTATATGGAAATAAGTGCAAGGTAATAATTGACTAAATATTAGAATATGATAATCATCTAATCTAACACATTTAAGGATAAATTGTTAAAACTGTACATCCCCTTAAATGTAGTCTAAATAGAGCAATTGAATTATTAACTTCATAAAAACATAAGTGGGTTAAAACAATGGTTGTTAGATAAATTGTTAAATAAATAGAAGATAATAAATAAATAGTTGCAGAAACCTATTTATGGCAAGATAAACAACTCTTTAAGAAAGTAGTCTTTTTTTCTGAAGAAACCTTAATAATTAATGTATACTATTATTTTTATTATTTAAGGATGATAATTTTGAAATTTAAATGAAACCAGTTTTTGATTGTTAAACTTATGAATAATTTCAAAAATGTGATGAAACAAGTATAAAATATTAAATAATAAAGGTTAAAAATTATAAGTGACTTATGGAATATACAAGAATGGTATCACTACCGTAACAATAATATAAAATTTATTTGATAAAGTATAATAACTTCAATATACTCCTGTGCTTTTAAAAGAAGTAGATTACTTTGAAAAAACAGTTCAATAGCTAAAACTTTTATAAACTGAGTGAATATTTATTATAATAAAAACATAATTATAATCTTCATATATATATATATAATATTAGATTCCTTTATATATAATATATATTCTTGTATATTATACAATTACATGAATGGATTTAAAGATTAACAATTCTATTTAGACTTCTTCTATAATTATAATTATAATAAAATAAAATGATTTTCAATATGAAAAACCTTTTGTAATTGTTAAAAATTATAGATAAAATAACAAGAAGCTAAAAAAGAATAAGTAAAATTGAAATAAGTGCCAAAACAAAAGGAACTATCTAAAAAAATTTTAAAATCTAAAAAAATTCATCTAACCCAAAAACTTTCACAATCATCATAACCAATAGCCTAAAATCTAGATCTAAATCTATTTTCTAAACTTTTGTAATAAAATTAACAACAATAACTAATATTTTAATAATTTTTCAAAAATCCATTAATCAATTAAGTTACTATGTAAGATGATGATTTTAGATCATTATTCTCCTGTTTACTTATATGGTATTCTAAAAACTCCTTAAAATATAGCTATTTCTAAAAGTTCAACTAGAAATGACGATGACTTCAAAATTTGATTATTGACATTAATTTAGTTTAAAATACGTATGTATTTGTAATAATATTAATTTCATTATGAATGATTTTATATTGGATGAAAGATGTTTATGTAAGAGTCTATAAATTAAAATTTCTTTCATTCACATAATCTATAGCTCTATTTTAAACTTCTGTTTTTTAAACATAATATAAGATAATATTTTAGTTTATTAATTTAAATTATCATCAAAAAATAAAAAAAATTGCTTTAACTTCAATATTTCTAAAGTCTCTGTTTTTTATTTGAAACTTTAATAGAAACACTATAGATAAATAGTTTTGAATTCATTATTAAATGTTTTTGAATGATGTTCATCGAATAGATCATTCTAATTTTATTTTTAAATTCTCTAAATCAGTAATTTAATTGATATTTATAATTAAGTATAAAATTCTAAATTAATTACATAGTATCATTATATAAAGATTGAATATATCAATTCTTTCTATTAAATGAACATTATTCAATACCTTTTGAATTTCAGATAGAATTTAATGATATGCAAAAAATGATAATAAGTAAATTGAAGAAAAGAGATTGTTTTAGATTTCAAATTAAATCATATTTTAATATATATAAACAAGGAAATAAATGCAAAATAATAATTTTAGAAGGCCTTATTTTTCAGTTCACAACATCCCATAAACATCTGGAATAACTAAAAGGTCTAGAATTATAATTAAAAAAAATAACATTAAACTGAAGAATATTAATGTGCCTAAATTAGAAAGAAGTCTAAGTGTTCCTCATAATATGAAATTTTTTTATAGAATGTGTGTCCCTATTCAAATTTTAAGAACTCAATAACATTAACCTAGTATTAAAGATTCTTTATCCCCTACAAGATTATCAAAAATAAGAACTGGAAGAAATACACTCAAATTTTCAGAATATATTTCTAATGAACTAAGCCCAGCAATTATTGTTAGTGATCATAATGTTGAAGATTAAGTAAAAGAAGTTTAGAAAAGAAAAAGTTGTGATTGTTCTGAATGTGGTAAGCAATCCTTATTCTAAAGAGAAACAATGAATTATGGTGTTTAAATTAATCATTTAATGAAAGAGTAGGAGTCTGCTATTAACAAATTTAAAAGATCAATAAGAAAACAATAAACACTGTTATTCCCTTAATATCTCAATACTCCAAAAAATAGTACAAGCAACGAAAATTTAGTAGAAGAAATATAAATTGTTAGAGATGATATAATGATAAAATCTTTTGCTCATAGACCTACTTTAAGTAGCTTAGTCTTTGAGGAATAAGTATTAATTAATAAATAATCACCTATTAATTTATAGAGTAGAATTAAACATAGCTATTTTGAATCCTTTTTATTGAAATAATAGAAGCTAATAAATTCTGAAAAATAATAATTCTCTAGATAAACAGGATTATTTGAATCTTTACATAAAAAGAATAATTTTTCGAATAAAAATACTTAAATGCATACTCCAACAGTATTAACTCCTAGATCTCCAGCTTCCTCATTCATTAAAGGTTTTCCATCTTAATCTCCAGTTAAAAGAAATAATAAAATTAACGTTTATTTGTAGCCTCAAAAATCAAAATTCTTTAAAAACTAAAATAGAATTACAACTCTTCCTGAGGTACATTAATGAAAAAGTTATTAATGATGAAAGATTTTGTGTTTTATTTATCCTTATTATTTTATAATTTTTTATCTATTATAATTTAAATTATTCTATTGAAAAGTAAATAACTTTTTTATGATAAAAAATATTTTAAAGAATTCATTAATATAATTTATTTTATCAGTCATAGTTTAACTTTGTATTAAAACAATATAATATCATTCTGTATGTAATTACACTTATTAAAGAGCTTTGTTAAATTTCTTTTTGCAACTATCTGGAATCCATGTTGTAAAGAATTTAAATATATCTTCTGATGTCCAACTATCTTATACTAATTCTCCTTAATCCACTATTATTATTCTAATTTAAAAAATAATTTATTACCTATATGAATCAATATACATAACTGCCAAAATATTAAACATGAATGTATAAAATAAGAAATAAAAGATGATCATAAACACTGTTCCTAATGTAATATCAAATTAATAAAATGAATATTAATCCTAACAATCTGTTAAAATCAATAATAAAGAAGTCAATGCTCTAGTGAAAGTACTAAAAGCTACATTATATTGACCATATAGACTCATAGAAATCATTGTGTATCCAACTAAGACAAAAGCCAAGATAAATAAACTTGCAAATATCATTAAATAATATTGTTCTATAGCACTAAGGGCTGCTTCAAATGATCTTAAAAAGTTAAATAGTAAAAATATTCTTAAAATAGTAAAGCATAATCCAATTGTATTTGTAAATAAGGCAGAAGAATGATGAGCAGCCAAATCTCCTAAATCAACAAAATCTTCTCTCAAAAATAATTCACTTGCATCGTAATTCATATTATCTAACTAAAAGATTAGATCACAACTTTTAAATGTTATATAGATTATTAAACAATTCAATACAAATGTTATTGAAATAAAATATTTCAATCCTTTAACTTTTGAATCTGTTAAATATGTTTTTATTTTTATCAATTAAAAAAACAGAAAGAATATACCTACAAATACTTTAGCTATTGTTATCAAATAAATAATTAATCCAACCTCATAATCAACAGGATTATTTGGACTCTCAAGAGATCTTTAAGCAATAACAGAATAAGGTTATGATAATCCTCTTCCAACTAAATTTAAATTAAATGGAATTATTAATGGTATATTAGGTATCAAAGCACTATTTGTATATTCAATCAAAAACTCTAAAAATATAAAAGATCCATCATTTTTACTACGTACAGTCATTGTTAAAATTTAAGCATTAAGTCCTTCAACTAAATAATCTGGATGATTAAATAATTCCTGTATCACTTTATTTTTATATTACAAAAGATTTTAATCTGATTTTTTCAAATCTAAAATATAACCTGATGAATCATAATCATCAAAAGTTCCTTTAGAAATTCGAGAAATCCCTAATTCACTAGTAGCTTGAAATGACATCCATGGTTTTGAACCATCACCTATTTGATCTGTTTCTCTTGATGATGATGTTACTTAAGTATAAACACAAGATATTTAACTTTTCCTATCATTTCTTCGAGGATAAAGACAATCAGCTGGTTTAGTTCTTATTTGTCTAATTCTAATCGCTCCAATAATATCAAAAGATTCTCTAAAATTCGATTCTGGTACCATTAGCTAATACGGAATACCAGATATATTGCAATAGTAATTATAAATATCCTCAATTTTAGAAATATCTCTATATGATCCTGCTTCTCCAATACTTCCAACTTTTAATAAGGATTAGAGTCTTCTATAATTTGTTTGAGCATAAGGACCGTCTTCTAAATAGTAAAGTGCTAAGTAATTTAAAACAAATAATGCAGCTAATATCAAAATAACACAAAAGTTATTGTCATCACAAGTCATACCTTTTTTATCTTATTTAATTTCTTTATCTATCATCACTCCTCTAGATTCAATGTCCTTTTTATCAATCATAAACATTTTTCTTAGTAATGGAAACCTTTTAAAAAATGTAGCAAATTTCTTATATAATTTAATCTTTAATCTTCTTTTTTCTTCATCCTATTCAGGATCATTTTCATCATCATCATCATCATCATCTTCTTCTAATGGGTTGTACTATTATTAATTTGATTAATCATCACCAGCTACTTTAGATTATTAATTTGATTATTAATTCGTCTATGTACCTATTTAAGAACTTTAACCGCCATGACTAACCCCATAGCTTTTTACTTAACTCATACCTTAACTTTTTCCGTCTGTTGTGTTTTTTCCTCCACCCTTTTTATGTGATTACTTATTTTTTTTCTTTCTCAATACAACACATAATGTATTTTTATTAGAATTTGCTATTTATTCATTTAAGAATCTTTCAATTAAATTAGTATTTTAAACTGGTTCTAAATCATCTGTTACTATTTCATATCTATTTGCTATTCTTTTTACATCATTTTCAGATTAATTACTTGATTTTGAATTGTTTAATCCTGATATAGCAACTTACCCATTACCTTCACTCATTTTAGATTGTTCTCCTCCTTCTTATTGTATTTCACTTTACAACCCATTAGACTTTTAATTATTTTCCATAAAATTATTAGTTACTTTTGTCTCCACCAATCCCCAAAAACGAAGAGCAGCTTATTTTAAAGTTTCAAATGTTTCTAATTTTGTATATCGAAATGTCTGAGTAACATAATCAGGATCATCTCCTGGAACTCCTAATTCTTATTTATCTTTAGGTAAGCAGGATTTCAGACATTTTACTTATATTGCACAAGTTGGAGGTGGAGCTTGATATTGATTATCATCATCTTTTATATCTGCTTATTCTTGTTCCTAATTTATACAATCTTCTATATATCTGAAATATTTATCAGTATGGTAACTAAATTTCTCTAATACTGATTTTTCCAGCATTTTTGACACTTATTAACCTTGTGGCTTTTTCTCCTAATATTCATCATCATGATAACCGCTTGTGACATATTTACCTAAAAGTTCAAAGTCTTTTGTCTTTTAAGTCAATTCTTTTTCTAAATATTTATTTCTTAGTTCTTTTTAAGTCAATTATTCATCCATCTCTTCTTTCTTACTTTTAAGTTTCAATAGCTTTGCTTTTAATGATGATAGCTTTTTCTCAACATCCATAGCATCATCTGCCATTTGAAAATGAAATTAATATAATAAAATGAGAAAACGAAAATAAGAAAATTAAATTGATTAACAAATAGACAATTAAAATAATCATTATCAAAAATTGAAACAGTAAATACTTGCACATCAAACAAAAGTCTTAGAATTAGAGGAATAAATTGAAATGAAATAAAAAAGGAATAAATTTATAGATAATGAAATTAAATTGAAATTAAGAGATCTAAGAAATGTTGAAAAGATTTTTGAAATAAACAAGGAGCTTGAATTAAATGAAATTAAATCACAGAATAATGAATAAAAATCTAACTCATCTACTACAATTTATAAGTAATTAAGCTATTAATTTATTATTAGTTTATAACAATATTAAAAGACTCTTAATTAACAATAGTTCCTATATAAATAAAAGATTTCTTAGGAATATTTTTCAAATTCAATGGAAAAGTATTTTTAATATTTTGAAAGTTGTATTGGATAAGAACTTAATCAAAATTAAGAGATTGAAAATGATAATGAGAAAATATATATTTCTCCAATGGTTAAATTTCATGCAATATAAATCCAATGCTTTGTTAAATTATTAGATCCTAAATTACGTAATAAGGTAAATTAGAGGACAGCAGATAATTAAGATTATGTCACTATTACTTTTAGATATTCAAAATCTGATACTTTTGATAATTTAAAACTTATTTGTCTTTAATATTGGAATATAATTGAGTTTGATAATTTATTTGCACCTCAAACTTTTAATTAGGATTAAAATTAATATCAGATCAAAATGAGAAAATATGAATTTTTAGCTCCTGATTTTACTAAAATACCTAATACAGAGTTAATTGAAAGATATTGTGAAAATTTTGAGTAGAGATTTGAAAAGGAAAAATATGTTAATGCGATTCTTAAAAAAAAGATTATTAAATTTTAAACTCATTAAGAAAAAGGAGATACCTATACATAAGCAAATGAATCTTAAACTGCAAGCTAATTTTTAAGTAGAACTTTCAAAGATTAAACCATTGTAAATTACACAATTCAAGCTGAAGATAGTTAATTAGCTCATCAATAATTGTAAAATTCAATTTCTGGTGATCTTAGTTTAGATGATGCAAATTTTGTAATAAGCAATATGATATTGAAAATGAAATAATCTTTAACAAAAAGTTATTATAGCTTTATTAAACGATTTCCTTTGCTCTAAAAAATGTTTTAAATTGATACATTTGAATTGGATCTTAGAGACTAAAAAAATCTAAAAAGAAAAGGTTTAAAAATTGATGACTATAACATTTTGGTAGTTTTATTGATTTTAATCCTATTGATATTAAATTTTATGCAATATTCTCTTATTCCAAATTAAGCTGTAATTTAGAGCCATATTAATTAAATAGAGACTGTACTAAAACTAGGTAAAAATTAAGAATTTTAAAATATCTCTACTTTAGATGGCATTTTTAGTTACTTTAATGATTTTAGTAAATTTCCTTTTTAGCTATGTAATAAATAATCTCAATTCAATTAGTACTATGATTTGATTGGAGCTATTAGGTTTAGAAATATCAAAGTCAAAGAAAAGGAATGTTTATTTACAGTTAGAACTGATATATCGAATAGATTAAAGTGCTTTTACGAATAATAAAATATTGATACAATCGAAACAAGTATATTATCTGAAGGAAATAAAGAATGGATGCAATTTAAATCTAAAAATGATATTTCTATTAATAGAGTAACTAAAGGAAAGTTTGGTGAATATGATTAAACTGGTTACATTAAAGATTTAAAAAAATCTTAATAAACAATACCACATTATAGATAAGAAATTACATATGAAATGTTCTAAAACAAAGAATATCTTAATGTTAATACATTGGCTCTTATTATCACTTTTACTATTAAAAGTAAATTGGACTCAAATTTCTTTTTTATTGAGTTACTTTGTGAAAATACGAATCTTGGAATCCACCCAAACTCCCCAAAAATTAAATATTTTCGATTAGCTAACCTTGACAAAAATAAGTTAGAAATTCAAATATTGACATACTTTAAACTATTTTTTTCAATCTGCTTATCTGTATACATAGTATTTGTTATTATCACTTTTAGTAAAGAAATTCAAAGTATCAAATCTGATTAAACAAAATTCAGAAATATTATAACATACTTTATATCCCTTATTTTTATCATGAATATTTTAGTTTTGTATACAAACTTTGTTAGTATATCATAAACCATTCAGTTACTATCTAATGAATAAAATCCAAAAAATATGATTGAACTTGAGGACTTTGAAGATTTTGGAAACTTTGCTTAAACATATTAAAATTATTTTTACTATTTAGGTTTATGTGTGGCTGCACTTATATTTAGAAGCTTATTATTTTTAGGAATTTTTGAAAGTATGCTTAATTTAATAGAATCAATATAATTTTAATATCTTTAGATTATGATCAGCTTTAAAATATTGCTCCTAATTCTTTTAAGTTTTTGTATGATTATGAGATCCTTATAAGGACCATATTCATCAGAATTTAGTTCCTTTGATACAGCTTTTACTTCACTACTCTAAATGGTAATGAATTCTTATGATGTTCGAAAATTATTAGAAAATAATTAAATATTAACTACATTTTTCTTGATCCTTTTTTATTTTTTATTAACGTACTTTACTTTTAATATGATTATTGTTGTTTATATTGATTCTTATAGGTAAGAAAATTGAATATATAGGCAAATTAAATTGAGAAGTAATCCAAAAGTCGAAAGTACTTTGAGTACTCTCTAGTATGGAATACTGTGGCTATCATATTGGTTCCCGAAATCAGTCTAAGATAAAATATAATTTTGATATAGAATTTTTGAATTTATATTCTATAAAATTTACATCTATGAAGTTAAATTTAATATCTAAATGGATTTTCAAAATTTCTATGATATGAATATTGTTTATCAAGTTAAATAAATTACCTATTCAACATAACCAATACTTAAAATAAGAGTAATTTTTAAGAAACATGATTTTACAAAATTTTAATTAAAATAATCAATTTATAATAGACTTAATCATATGATAATAATTACAACCATTTTTTTATGACAGTATGGAAAAAGGAAAATTTAAATTACTAAGAGTGGAGAATGTATTAGAGCATAACTATTAAAATAGATAAAATAGATTTATTATTTATTATTTATATTTAATTCTCAAATATTTTATTTATTGAACCAATATCTTCCTTCTCCATCAAATTTAAGAATATATTCATGAAATTTAAATAATGATTATCTATGTGATACTGTAAATAAAGTAATATTTAAAGCTTTGGCTTTATTGTACATAATTGCTTCAATGTCCATACTAACAGAAGATGTGCATTCATCTATTCAAAGATATAAGTTATAATACCTAAAATAGCATATTATGGTTTGTGATAGAATAATCTAGCCATAGCAATACGTTATTTTTCTCCTCCACTTAATACATCATTCCAATCATTTGCTGCATCTAAACCTCTTTCTCTATAAACAAGATATTCTAATTAAACATCTTCTAATAATTTAATTAAATCTTAATCATTGATTTTTCTTCTTAACATTTATAATTTAGTATGAGGATAAATAATTTAATCTCTTAGAGTTCCTGGAGGTAAATAAGGTCTTTAAGGAATATAAAATAATTTATCAATAGCAGGTCTATATAATGTACCTCCTTAAACTGGCCATAATGCTCCCAAAATTCTAAAAAGAGATGATTTACCACATCCATTTGGTCCACTTATAATAACATTCATTCCTGGAATAATTTTAAAATTCATTCCTTTAATAAGAGTATCTCCATTAGGAGATATAATAGGTACATTTTCAAATTCAATAATATCATCAGTTTAAATAATCTATTATTTAAATAATAATTTACTTAGCCTTTATCTAATTATATTGTTTAATGCTTTCCTTAATCAATTACTACTTATCCAGTTTCATTTTCTTATTGTACTTAAGTTCTTTTATAATATCCAGATGTCAAATCAGATAATACTTCCTTTATTTCATAAACAACTCTTGTGTAACCAGCTAATTATTATATTTCCTTATAGCTGACAACTAATCTACCAATTGCTTTAGCCAAATTAATTAAAAGAGAACTATTACTTACATAATCTCTAGTAATAGCACTTTTATCATTTCCAATTTTTTTTAAATATTCTTCTCTATTGGGTCCAAATAC